CCCGTGCCACCCCGTCCCCATGTCCCCGGTGCCACCCCCGGGAGTTACACCCGTGCCCCCATGTCCACATCCCTGTCCCCGTGTCCCCGCAGCCCTGTGCCCGTGTGCCCCCGTCCCCACCCAATGTCCCCATGCCAACGCCCTGTGCCCGTGTCTCCATGTCCCTCTGCCTACGTCCCCATGCCCTGTGCCATGTCCCCATGCCCATACCCCCGTCCCTTTGCCACCACCCCGTGCCCATGTGCCCCGTCCCCATGCCCCGTGTCCCTGTGCCCAAACATCCTATGTCCCCATGCCCATGTCCCCGTGCCCATGTCCCCACATGCAACCCATGTCCCCCTGCCTGTTAGGTCCCATGTCCCCATGCCACACACCCATAGACACGCCCCTGTCCCCATTTGATGTCCCCATGCTCTGTGCCCATGTCCCCATGTCCTTAACCACGCTCCATGCCCACATCCCTGTGCCCGTGCCCATGCCCCCAAAGCCATGCCCATGTCCCCATGTCCCTGTGCCGCGTCCCCATGCCCCCACAGCCATGCCCATGTCCCCATGTCCCCATGTCCCTGTGCCGTGTCCCCATGCCCCCACAGCCATGCCCACGTCACCGTGCCCATGTCCCCGTGCCCATACCCATGCCCTGTCCCCGAGTGTCCCACGTCCCGGTGCCTTATGCCCACGTCCCCATATCATTAACCATGCTCCATGCCCACGTCCCCGTGTCCCCGTGCCCCCACCGCCGTGCCCACGTCCCCACGCCCTATGCCATGTCTCCATGCCCCTTTGCCAGCACCCCCACGCCCGATGTCCCGTGCCCAAGTCCCCCTGCCCACACCGCCCTGCCCGTACCTGCAGGCAGCCGCGGAAGCCCTGCTCCACGGTGCCACCGTCGCCCGCCAGCCCCCCGATGCTCAGCGTCCGCAGCCGCAGCCCCTGCAGCTCCCCGGCCATGTCGGCCACCGCCTGCGGGCGTGGGGCGGGTACTCAGACACCCATGGGTGCCACGGTGGTGAGCAGGGCTGGGTGCCCGCCCCGTGCCTCAGTTTCCCCTCGGGGTCCCACCCTACCTGGTGGCGGCCGTAGTCAAGGGCGAGAAGGAGGAGGGTGGCGGGCGGGGGGCGGCCG